AAATTGCCCAGGGATAGGGGAGATAATTATGTAGAGTATCCACCCCCCTCATGGCTAAATTACATTGAGTGTATATTAAGTGGAAGTTGGGTTGTTGTGCAAATAGTCATGGGGAATATTTAAATATTTGGTAAGAAAGAAACTTCTACCAATAGCCTTACGTTGTTAAAGGGATGCAAATTTATCTGACCGACTGTATTATATTGTAACAGCTTCTATATTTTAAATTCATACATGGAGACTGGCTAGGTTTAAAATTTGCTGGTGTGAACATCACCATCATCATCATTGTCAACTGAATCTCTATCAACATCATTGTGATCATTACTGTCATAATCTTCCACACACAAGAGTTGTGACTAAGGTTTCCTTCACTCTGCTATACTCACAGATACTTGAACAAAACTAAAAAAAATCTCTATAATTTTGTAATAACATAGGAACTGAGAAAAACAATACTCATAACTAAGTTGCCTTGTGAATGCTGCTTCTTGTTTAATAAAGAAAGTCTCATGCTATACATGACTGATGTCTATTGTTCATCTAGAGTTGGTCATAAAGAACTAATTTTTTACAAGTTGTTGTTTGAACCTTATGAACACTATTGCAACAACAACCTCTTTAGGGGCCTCATTAGGTCCTATAGGTGTCAAGTTTCTTAGACCCTTAAGAGTCAATTGTTTCTTAGACCGTTAAGAGTCAGAAGTGATTAAAATGTAACTTCTCCCTATAATATCCATATATTATCTAGCAAACAGGTAATGAGAATATTCAAACTTGGCACAGGTTGTTATCATGATTGAACATCAAATTCTCGCAACTAATCTACAAGGAAATGCGTAGCAGCTAGAGGGAAGAATGATCAATCTGATCTTAGCCGTTCTCAGCCGTTCCTTGGCATCTCACGTAACGCTCACCCAAGGTACAGCAGTGAAGGTGACAAGATAACCGCTGGCTCATTTCGACTGAAAAAAGCTTCGGATAAACTCGGCGTACTCCTTTGGAATAATATCTTCACCTTCAAGAATTTCGTTCAAATAAACTTCACTTGGACTAAGCCCTTGCTGAACAAACTCATCGTTAGCTATGTATGTAGTAGCTTTTACTAATTCACCATTCTTCTTCTCGACTGTTACAGTTGCCCTTCGAAAATGGTTTCCTTCAATCACATGCTCGCGATCCATACTGGACATGCTTCCTCGTTCACAAACATATAAAGCTCCATGAACAACTGATCCTTCTTCAGGAACAATGTTTGCGTATCCATAACCGTCATCTTTCCAGTTAGTACTAAATTCTAGCCGAAAACCTCGAAGAACAGCACTCTCACGCGACAAAAACTTCGCGCCCCGTTCGGCCATTTTTCTTTCACTCAAGCTTGACGCGAAGCCAAAGTAGATCTCTTTCTCATCCATGAGGTTAGCGTAGAGTTTAGATGTGAGGACTTTTCGAGTAAGCGACGTTTTAACTTGTTTGATTCTGCAGAATTGCGCTTGTGATCAATCGAAATACAATTGCGTGACAAGATGTGCGGGAAACACGAGACTACTTCGCGCGAAATTTCCTCTCGCTGCACCTCAGCCACGCAGGGATGGTGATTTTCACGCGCGTTCGCGTTACATGCTCCAGCGTAAGGGTCCGTGTCTGGGGGATCACATAGTTTTCGCGAGGAACGGAGGGGGCCATAAAATTGAGGGTCATCCATAACTGAGGGGTGGGGAGGGAGGTCCTCATAATACTCCAGAGACTTACAGGGGGGATCGGGTAAATTTTATTTTGATACAACCAAAATCCTTGGACACCAGGCTTCTTGTATTTGCATATTGAACAAGTCGCAGTCTACAAAGCTAGTTCCGCAAGGGACGGGATCGGCAAATAGGAGAGAGATGTTGGAGGTATAACGTTTTGAACGAGTTCAAATCTATAGAACAGGCCAACTGGGCTTGGCATACGCTTTTTATTTGTTGTTGTTGTGGACGAAGTTCACACCCTTGACATGGCTAAAAATCTCCACCTAGCTTGAATCAAGTGCTGTTCCTAACCGCAGGCTAAACAAGTAGAAAAATATTTGGCATGAAATGCGGTTCTCGTGCGAAGAGCAGGAGGG